CCTGGGTGCCCCTCACTGCCCACCTCCTGCTGGCCTGGCCACCCCATGCAGCCTGCTGCACTGCCTTCGCTCCAGCCAGAGCTGCCTTTCCTCCTTCCCATATTGCCCAGAGGCTTGGAGTGGCTGGGGCAGTGCGGAACAGCTACGTCCCACCCTGCCCCAGGCCGCTTGACACCTGCGTATGCAAATTAACTCACTAGCTTTGCTGGGTTAATTTTCATACTCAGTCCTGATTGGCTGGTGGGCATCGCAAAGATATGGTCAATTACCATTTTTCTCTTTTATTAGTGTAGACAGAGACAGACAGAAGAATAACTAAAGCAGCCCTGCCCCGTATGACTCAGATGGTTGTGCATCGTCCTGTGCACCGAAAGATTGCTGGTTCAACCGATGCGATGTTTCTCTCTCACATCGATGCTTCTCGCTCTCAAATCAACTTTAAGAAAATCATGTATTTGTAAAAAGGAAAGAAAGAAAATACCTAAGGCAGAACTGGAACCTTCACATCCGTTTGGTCTCAAGAGGCTACCTATTGGCCTTACAGGTGATGGGGCCCTGTTCTCTCCTAGACTGAGGCTCATACATTTTAGTGATACACTTGCCTTAGCATTTCTCCCACAAGTTCATTCAAGAAAATATACATCGGCAAGCAATGCAAACGCTCCAAATGGGAGCAGGACGAAAACCTCTCATAACCACCTGCCCACGTCTACTTAGCAACACCTGTCATTCAAAAAGCAACACCTTCAACTGAAACACTGGCTTGCAGATGATATAACTATACTCCCATTTTTCTGAGGCAATTATGCTCTGTCATCAGACAGGAATAATCAATATCCCCATTGTATTAATTTTCAGTTTGTGAAAATGTACTGAAGTCTTTTTCAGGAACTGTGTCTCCCCTTCCCCCCACAGCTGGATTCTCAGCATATCCACCTTCTCCATTATGTCTGACCACCCTCCGTTATTACCTCTTGCCCCCACCATATTAGTGCCAATCGGAGGCAATGATTTTTTGACATTCCTCAGGTTTTTATGTTAAAATGAACTCCCTAAGGCAAAGTTTGAGGAAGTACTCCCTGGTGAGAAAAGATATCCATACTCCACGTATAATAAATATACCCATCGTGTCAAAATGACCAAGAGCCAGGAAATACCTGATTGCATACAAAGTGCTAAGTGTAAGAGAAAGAGGAAACAAGTTTAACTTTGGCTCACAAACCAAAACAACTGAAAGACTGGGAACAATCAGTTAGAAAATTCTTCATTGAGAAAGTTTAACAACATTTTTAAAAAAACAACAACAAACTGTATTAAGGTATTTAAGAAATATGTTAGAATATAATGCTTCACAAGCTACTATAAAAATTTCAAAATTACTGTAAGATCAGATGAAAAAGTAACAAAACCATCTGAAGACATATATAGACATTTAGTTTTTAACTCTTCTGAGTTTCTGAAAATAAGAATTTATAATTTATATAGGAAGGAAAAGGCTCTATTATCAGCAATATCTTTTACAAATGATTCTCTTAACTTTTCTTTACTGACCTCATAATACATGTAGGATACCAAATTAGCAATATTCTGATAACTTATGTCTTTAACTAAATAAATGCATGAAAACATTAAAAGGACTGGGGAACCAAAAGCACTTAATTTTCAAGTTTCCTATAACTTCAGTGTTTGGATTTACCAAGACTACAGGTTGATGTCTGGAGTGAGTGCACATTTTAACATGATGAAACATTTTAAATCTACATGATTGAGAAACTAAGAAAAAGAAGCTTCAACATTGGCCTTTTGAAAAAAGAAGTTGCCACAGCAATGGGACTCGGGCTGGAAAGTTCTTACCCGCAGGGCCTCGATGACCAGGTCTCTGGCCTCCAGCTCCCCTTCCATCACGCTGAGAAGCATACGGAGTTCCGATTTACTGAGGGTGTCCACATCAAACTCTTTTTTCTGTAACACAAATTTTTAAAAAATGATGAAAAGACTATTTTTAGGAACAACACACATGTCTATGTATGCAGCCCCTTTTAAAGGAACATGCTCTACCCCACCCCAACACAGGGAGATCTACAGACACACACATGGGACAGGTATGCAATAGATCATCTTTTGTCCCAGTGGCTCAGTAAATTCAAGGAGCACTGGGGCTGTTTGGCAGCAGACAATCTATGCCCTGACCTTCAAAAAAAGGAGGAGTAAAAACCATTCACACCAACATAGTGAATCTCTCTGTTAGGGAGATCTGTTTTCCCAGCCTGCCTGCACATCTAGGTTTAGAATGTCTTCAAATTGAGACACAAACTGAAAATCCCTGGAATTTGTAACAAAACAGGCCCAGAGTATATTGGGGAGACACTGCAAGGGTAGCCAAGAGAGCACGAGAAAATACTCCTAGAAGGGCCCTAATGGAAAGGCTCCTGGAAGGTTAAATTCCAGAACATCCAATAACAACAGGTCATGTTTATAGAACACTGCAGCAGAGGCCATCAGCTGGCAGCCTACAGCCAAATCTGGCCCACAGATATGTGTTCCTTGGGCCACAAAGTGTTCTACCTTTTTATTCAGCCAACATTAAAAAATCCTGAAGGCCCTGGCCGGTGTGACTAAATGGTTACAGTGTTGGCCCATCCACCGAAAGGTCTCTTCACATTTGTATGGCACCCAGCAGTTTCCAAGGTATTCTCAGAGAACCAAATCTATTCTGTAAGAGATCATCCTATGCATCAGTTAAGAAAACCACAACTCAGAGAAGTTGGATAATGTGCTCAGATCAGGCAACCAGGAAATGGCAGAACTACAGCTAAGGGCCTGTCTGGTCTACACACTTAGTGGCACAGGGCAAACGTTCCAGATGAAAAATACTGCCATTCTATCCATCAACTAATAAGAACTACTTTAGCACTTATACACCTGACCCTACACCATCCCTTTAAGACAGAAGTAAACACGGAAAGCCCATAAATGATCCCAGGGGCTTTCAAACAGGCATGATCAGAAACTGGCCTTCTCAATTTCAAAGGAACCTTCTTCTGGAAGGTTATAATAATTTAAGGGGAAAGAAACCAGAAATAGCTGCTTCTTCAAAGGAAGACTTTAGGATTTTCCTTTTAAAATTGTTTCCTTTTGCACATACATTAGACCAGTGGTCCCCAACCTTTTTCTGGCCACCCCCCACCTAAGCATCTCTAAAATCCTGATGCCCCCATGACATATAATCCTTATTATTCACGGGGAGGAAGTCTAAAAGGCCATTAACTTGGTCTATACAAGCTTCCAAAGAACGTGGCATCCACCAAAGAGAAAAATAAAACAACAAAAGAACAGTTAAAGTACTGAGGAAGAAATCACTAAGAAAGTATTGTTTAAAAAAGTATGAAGTGATATAAAGAAAAAGCAAGTAAAGTTTCAAAACATATAATAGAGAACGGAAATACATAAATATGTCATAATATATATTTATCTACTATACATGAGACCCCTAGAACCATAAGAAATGCAGAAAATTCACTGTTAAAAATTCATTCTCAAATCGCCTCCTTTAAAAATCCCATTGCCCCCCCATGGGGCATGTGTCCCATGTTGGGAACCACTGCATAAGACAGAGCAGTTGTTTGGAAAGGCAGCTACTAAGGATAAAAAAGAAAAGGAAGAGCTGTAGTAAACCCAAAACATGGGTAATTCTGAGAAGCTTAGAAGGTTAACTTAGAGATGTTCCTTATGTATAGTAAAATTTAATATAATAGGGCTCAAATTTGGCTCCCACTATATAGTGGTGTCACAAAGGTCTTATAAGCCAACTAGAGGCCCAGTGCACAAAAATTAATGCACTCGGGGGGTCCCTCAGCCCAGCTTGTGCCCTATTGTAGTCCAGGACCCCTTGGGGGATGTCCACCTGCCAGCTTAGGCCTGATCCCTGAGGAATTGGGCCTAAGCTGGCAGTCAGACATCCCTCTGGCAGCCCGGGAGCCCTTGGGGGATGTCCAACTGCCGAGGAGGCAGGAGAGGCTCCCACCACCACCACTGCACTCACAGACTTCAGCACGGCTTGTGGCTGGGCAGAGCTCCCTCTGTGGGAGTGCACGGACCACCAGGGGCAGCTCCTGCATTGAGAATCTGCCCCCTGGTGGTCAATGCGCATCATAGTGACCAGTCATGCCCCTATTAGGGTCAATTTGCATATTACCCTTTTATTATATAGGATAGTTCTCAAATTCAGACACACAAAAGAATCACCCGGAGCCCTTGTTAACACTTTCTGCTTGGGCTCCGCCCTTGGAGTTTCTGATTGAGTTATGTCTGAGGTATAGCCGTGAATTTGCCTTTCTAACAAGATCCTGCTGCTGGTCCAAGGACTACACTTGGAGAACCATTTCTACAACTTATCCTAATCTCTGTTTTCTCATCTATATAACAGAAAACCTAAGATCTACCCCGTAAAGTCTTGTGAGGATTAAAAGAAACATAAATGCTAAATAAAGATGGATGATAGTTATTAATAAAGGCAGGTGATTATTATTAAAGCTGAGAGCACTAGGTGTTTTATGTAGAGAGGAGTGGGATATTGGCTATAAGCCTATTTCTCTGAAAATCCACCAGCCCAAGTCCAATAAACTAAGTTTACTGACTATGATGAAAGACAGACTCTTTTATCCCAGTTTTTCTCACTGAGATGGGAAAGTAAGTTGCAATTCTTTTGAGCTTTAGAGCAGCATTTTTAATCAGTGTGCCACAAGAAATTTTAAAACATGCAATACCTGACTATTTATTTGGAGGCACTGACATCTTTTCCCTTGTCAAATAAAAAAAACGACAGCAGCCAATACAATAGCTGTCCGAAGTAAATGAATCAAAATTACACCTATTTTTTGTCAAAGAAGCAAAACACTTTTTTTTTGGTGTGCTGCAGAATTTTAGTAATTACTTTATGTGCGCCATGAGATGAAAAAGGTTGAAAATCACTACTTTAGAGGGTGTTTATTAATGCGGGGGCTAAACAATTTAATTAATTATATATTTTATTGCTCGTCTTCCCCCT